CCCCAAGGAGGAGAGGTTGAGAGAGTTGGGGCTGTTCAGCCTGGAGAAGAGAAGGCTCCGGGGAGACCTTATTGCCGCCTTCCAGTCCCTACAGGGGCTCCAGGAGAGCTGGGGAGGGACTTTTTACTGGGGCATGGAGTGCCAGGACGAGGGGGAATGGCTATAAACTGGAAGAGGGCGGGTTTAGATTAAACATTAGGAAGAAGTTTTTCCCTGTGAGGGTGGTGAGGCACTGGCCCAGGTTGCCCAGAGAGGTTGTTTAGCCCCCATCCCTGGAGGTGTTCAAGGCCAGGCTGGACGTGGCCTTGGGCAACCTGGTCTGGTGGGAGGTGTCCCTGCCCATGGCAGGGGGGTTGGAATTCAATGATCTTCAAGGTCCTTTCCATCCTAAACTATTGTATGATTCTATGACTCTCACCACCCCCCAAGTTGGGGGGAGAGGGCAGGTGCCGAAGCACATGATCATCTGTGGACTCAGCTGCCCTCCATCTCTCCGGGCGCTGCACTGGCACCGCAGCTCCTAGCCAAGACCCGGCACCCGACATGTGCTCCGGTGTGTGCTTCGGTTGGGGGACCGGGTTAGCCGAGATAAAGAGGGCTGGCCTTTCTGTGACCCACCTGATGGGTGGACCAGTGAGAGTTTGGACCCCTGTGAATGGGAGCATACAGCGCAGGGTCAGGGCTGCCCTGTGGTCTGGGTGCGGTATCTTCACAGCAGCTTTTTGAGATTTAGGGATTGCACGTTGCCGTATTGGTACGTAGTCACCAGCAGAGGCAGAAATGGGCCATTTTCAGGAATTTCTGTTTGCTGCCTTTAGTACTGTTTCTGACTGGGGATTATTGACTGGTTTCCACTGTATCCTTCTGAGGCAGACACTTCTGTAGCCTTCTGCTCATCCTCAGACCTTATCTTCTTGATTGGCCTGTCCGGATCCAAACCCTGTCAGATATGGCTGCTGTTGCGTTATCGCCTGTTGCTGACAGATTGGAGGAAGAGGGAACGAGTGGGGCAGTGTGTGTGTATTATCCAAGATGCACAGCATTTCACCCTTTTTGGGTTTTTTTTCCTCCTTTTTATTTACCTGGAATGCCTCCGTAGTCATTCCTCTGTAAAGGAAAGAAAGAAAAAGCCGGGAGGAGAAGCATTCCAAACCGCTGTCTCTGCGCTGCCGCGTCGCTCCCAGCGCTGTTCTCGCTGAGGCTCAGGCCATCTCCAGATGCTGATTTTTGTGGTGGGTGATCTCTGAGCCCACCTCCTCGCGGGTACTGCCGCCCCTCACCTTCTGCCCGGCACATCAATAGCTAGTTATGATGGGAGTGGATCCGTTGCTGCCTAATTACCAACTTTGTGTGCTAATCAGGGCTCCTTGAGACCAACCTATTTTGTGCTTTGCGCATATATCCACATCTGGGGCAGGGGAGGTGCCAGACGTGCCTGCCGTCTGTACCTTTGCACACACGTGTGAACCCTCCGCCCACACTGCTCTTTGCACGTCTTGACCAGCTCTGCGGTGCCCGAGCTGCCCTGGTGCGCTCACCGCTCGCCTCTCTGCTGCGGGCACAGGGTAGCCCAGCGGTGCCCGTAGCCCACAGCTGGGTTTCGATGCATCTGAGGTGCCCACCATGGTTTCCCAAAAGTCTTTCCATGTTGTGAGGCGGGTGCTGCTGAGCACAGGGGAGGAAGAGACAGAGTGGAAGTGTTGCAGCGTGAACCGTGTGTATTCCTGGTCTGTGAAGTGAAGAGCACCGATGGATCCGTTTTCAGTTCAAACCAGCGTTCTTCAGAGCACTTTCAGAATCCAGAGGGAGTGGAGTCTGGGCTTCTCCCTCCCGTTCTCTGTCTCGATGCGATCAGCCGTGCAGGGAACGGATGAGGAGCTGTGATGAATCCAGTTGAAGTCTGCAGCCCCAGGAGAACTCCCAGAGGATTTCCCATCAGGTCCGGTATTCCACCTTGAAGTGAAAGGGAGCTGAACACAAACAAACAAGAAGCTTTAGAGCCAGGACGTGACACCAGGCTTGGGGTAAGGTGCCAGTCGCACACAGTAACAGGAGAAGTGTCTCTGTGGGAGTCTTGGGTCAGTCCTGGTGGGATCTCGTCAGGGGGTGGAGGAGTTCTCTGGAGACCTCGGAAGGGATGGATGGACGTGAGCGAGCTGGAAAGGCTGGATGTGTCTGTGCTGGGGGGGGAGGGAAGGAGCGAGTTGGCAGTCGCCGGAGGGGAGATGGTGATGGGGGTTGCTGTTGCTGGTGGTGCTTCCTTGGACCGGTTCTCTCGGACCTGCTTTTGTCCAAAGTTTGTCCTTTTGGCTGGAGGCTCTGTGCTCCTGTAAGCGTGCGTCTCGGGGAGCCGTAGGGAAGCACAGGTCGGGGAGCGCGTGTTGCCTGCCTGTGCCTGTGGGATGGCATGCCCGGGGTTCTCCAGTTCCTCTGGCCACGCAGGGGAGGAGGGCCGCGGCATGAGCAGACTCCTCCAGCAGTGCTGTATTCTCCTCCTGTGCTGGAAACTTGGGATACTTCCTAAAAAGTCTGCTCCGGCGAGCTGCTGTTTGTGGCTTTTGGAGAGACGGCCAGCCGACGGTGGGTTTGGCCCGTGCGGGGGTCCGGCAGCAGGAAGGCTGCGGTTCTCCTGACGGTCACCGGCACTGGCAGGGCAGTGCCTGCACGAACTCCTGCGTGACG